TTTACATTAATTTAACTGCCTAATTTTTATTGATATGATAATTGTGGCTCTTTTGAAGAGAAAGGAGGGGCAAAAATAGTTTTACAACACTACCCAAATCCTAGTAATCCAACTGACTTTTGTCTTAGAGCAGAAAGGGAGAAGAGGCGAAAAATTTTGGGACATTTCTGACATTTAAGGGAACCTTAATACTATCAAGAGCTGCTCATGCAACATTAATATTGTAAACTACCCCAACTTTGTTGTAATATGTACCTGAAGAAGTACAAGTCATGACTTATAAAATAGGAGGGGGAAAGTTGCCATCTATAAATATTTAAATATTTTATTGTACACTGCCTCAGAGTCCCTGCGAGGGAGGATGATTTTAAAATGTGATAAAATAAGTAAAAAAATAAAGAAAACCAATACATACACGTCCTACCCATCTATTGATCTTTCTAATCATGTACTTAGCTGACCTGAAGAAAAATATTTTGCAACTTAATAGTGCCTATGATCTTAATATGGCTTAAGCCCATTAATCACCATGTCCTCAAGTAAATGTGGGGAAACCTGTTCATTATTAGAATTTTTAAATCAATAATTTCGAGAATAAAGTGAATTAAAATATTCTCTACCTTTTGGTTGTTTCAAAGGCACTTCTTTGTGATCTTTTAAAAGGCCCTCACCATTTTTCTTTGGAAACTTGTTAGTCTGCCTCTTCATAGGGGGCATGATGCTCGTTGTCTTGAGGAACAAAAGAACATAAGCAAACATAATTTCAAAAATGCAATTTTATCCTATACTAGTCAAATTCCACCTTTAAGACTGTTCATTTTCTTAATACCATGCTTTAAAAAGGATTGAGACAAATTGGAACAGACTGTAAGAAATGCAATGAGGATTATCAGGGCATAAAAGTTGTCTTGCAAGTAAAGATTTAGCCATGAGAAAAGACAATTGGGTAATTATAGACAGGCATTCTTCAGCTACCTGAGGTTGTTTCACTTAAATGGACACAATCATTTACGGTGTAAGAGTCTTAGCCCAGCATTCCCCAACTTTTCCAGCTCAGCAGACCAGCGGAGGCGTGGTGGGGAGAGAGGATGGTTTTGCACATGATCGCACACCAATTTTCCTATTTGGAAAACGGACTGCGGACCCCTGTCTTTACCTATAAAGTAAATTCTTACAAGAAGACATTTTCTAACTGACTATTATACCAATTTCCTAATGTACCGCTTTGGAATTTTCTAAAATTTTCTGAACTATTGGTCTCCTCTTTACTGGATGTCTTCAAGCAGAAACTTTATTTTGATTTCTTGGAGGAGATGGTCTTTTCAAGCTTTATGACTTAAGGATTTGAAATTACACTCTCAGTTCATTTAAAGTTCAAGCCTTATGCACTGTAGATTTATTATCTGAATGTAGAGTATGTTTCGGGTAACAGTTGCTATTTTAAAGTAATACACAAGATTTCAAAATAAGAATTTCAGAAATTATTAAAAAAAAATAACAGTACTGAAATTAGTGTCAAAAATAACAAAAAAAACCAGAAGTTATATGTTCTTTAAAACTGTTCAGCAGAATTAGCAATTCAGTACTATTATTGTTTTCTCTTTAAAATTCCAATCCCTCCTCCCCAAATTTACTAAGGAAAACACGCTGTAAATGTGGGGCCACTAATGCAAAACTGTTCCTGGTCAGGCTCTTAACGTCTATAGAGAGAAGTGCTCAAAATGTTTCAAGTCAAAACTTTTTATTCTTTGTATCCATCAAGAATATTCTAGCACTATTTTATTATTTGTTACAGCATTAGAACATTTCTCAGGAGAATCAGACTTCAGAAGTATGTTCTGACTGACTTCCCCTCCTCGCTGACGGACCGAATATTTGCACAATATTCTAATTTTTTGAGTTTCACCTGTATATATATTGAAATAATTGAAAAAGGATGTTTTTAAATGAGATTAATGTCAGTGACCAGGACTAGCCAAATGGATTAATTGCCTTTGTTTTTTGCTATTTTTCTTTTGGTATTATAAATAAAACCCTGTGGAAGTTAAAAGGGGAAAATATATTGCGAAATCTGACTGAGACGTACAAAGTTACGTAGTTCTTTTTTAGGGAATTATTATTATAACTAATTAAAATAAATGTATATTGGGAATTAAGATGAGGGAAATAAGGTATAGTCAAACCACTGAGGTGACACTCCCAAATTAGTAAAAGGGGAGGAGAAATCTATGTTTTATTTTGTGTGTGCAAACTAGGGAAAACTTGTGTTTTAGTTTAAAAAAATAATGAACCAAAACTTTTATTCCTTAATGTCCAAATCTAGCATTTTTAAACTAGGCTTAGAAATTCTGAAACCACATGTATAATTGAGACACTACTAACATAATATGCTCTGAATGTTAGTGTGCTTGCTACTCTAGCATGTATGAATTTATGACAAGGTTCAGCAGCCCATCTGCATTTGAAAGACCAAAGGTCACTCTTTTGAAGACAGCAAAGCTCACATTCTGGACAGAGAATACCTCTGGTTTGAAAGAGGAGCCAAAGAGGCCATCTGTGTTAAAATTGGGCAGCTTTCTCTCAACAGAGGGGGAGGGATATAACACCACCTATCTCCTGTCTACAACACTGTCCTTTCAACAGACCCAAGAAGGTTCCATACCCATATGCACTCTGGTTCAAGTGAACCGGAAGATACAGATAAATCCCCAAGTGGCCTCAACGACTCTTGGAGAGCTAATGATGACTGTCAGAGTGCGCTAAAAACCAGATGACTCCATTCCCCACTCCATTCCATTCCGTTCAGACAGTACTGAAGAATCTTCTTGCATGAGAAGCAAAATGTTATTGAGGAAAAAACTAACAAATTCAAGTTGCCATTTTCAGATTACTCCTTTAGGCTCAGGGTAAGTACAATCATTTCCAAGTTAAATTGTACACAATCCATAATACTCTCAACTTGTAGGAATTCAAAATGTCTACAAGCACCTGCTTAAAATTCTATCACTATCATCACTCCAGAATAATAATTTACATATAGTGAGAAAAAAGAAATCTTACAGGTGATAAGTAGTTGGCACCTCCTTTGTTTATAGTGATATTTAATGCTTGATCGAGACATATCCGTTCCCCACACCAGTACTGCATAGGTGGCTTAATACACCGCCCACTACGGGTGAAACTTTTCTCACTGTCATTCTGTAAATCAATTGTTTTCATCTGCATACCTAACAAGGAAAACAAACAAACACCCACGAAAAATATTCTTCAGCAACAACAAATTTCTTTCTGTGTAACAAGGTACTTGACTGTAGTTAAAAGCACCCTCTTAAATGGTTCAAAGAAAAGTTGAAGTAGTCCTACTGAGCATTTAATTCTCTTTCGTTAACTTTTATTAGCTTAAAATAACTGGTGTCTATAGAAGCAAGTTATTGGTAATGAAAATATTTTGGATTTTTTTTTAAAAAACAACAACATTTAATATGAAAAGCTGTTTCCTGCCATATAACTTACCTGCATTTGAACATTAGGTTAATCTAAATATAGCTCTTTCACAAGCCATGAAATACATTCTCATCGTATATAGAGCATAGTATTAACTAATACACTCTTTCCCCATTTAGCAACCAGTCTGTTAAATTGGAAGTGAAAAGGTTAGGAAGGAAACATGACTGAGGAAGAGAAAGAAAGACACATACTACAAAGATCACTGGTTGCTACCATCTCATTTAGGTAAAGTTCTCTCTTACAGCTATTATTACAGCATTATTCTCATTCCAGCATACATTGTCATCAGGCCCAAAATCTGGTTGTAAGCGTGCACAATTTTTATTACTGTTTCCCATTGTGAACAAAAGTCAATTTTATAGGAAATTACTAGGGTTAGAAATATAAATACAACAGTATTTTTTTGAAAAAGACCAAAATCTTCGAAAAACAAAGGAAATAACATGCATACCATGTATTTTATTATGTTGCAGTGGTAATACATCATAAGTGGTGTTATTTGTTTTATATTTTCTCTCAATATTTTGGGGCAGATCCAGTTCTTCTGAGCATTTATTTTTTTCGCTATTACCACTTACAGGAAATGCTCTCTCTTCTTTCCTAAGATTTAAAGGTTTGCATAAGTAGTATTAATCACCTCAATCTTTTAAGCAGATTTCATATTTTCTTTAAAACGTTTAAACACTGGTTGCAGTAATTATGCTGCAGTGGCAGCTCTTTTCTGAAGTAGTTTGTTTAGATCGGATACAAGGAATTAAGTGAAGCCTGAGATGCCTATCCAGACCTCCACTTGTTCTAGAAGGCTGTCTTCAACAGAAGGTGGCAATTTCATTAACCCCAAGTCCTGCTTTCATCCATCTTTCCACAGAGAAACGTATTTGTTTCCTAGGTCTCTGTCTGAAGTAGCTAGAGAAGGCAGGAGTTTTCCAAACTTTTGCTGCAAAACCAGGATACAAACTTCTCAAGTGGACTTTTCTTTTTTAAAAACTTTAATGGAAGATTTTTAATGCAACAGTAAAATAATTCACATCTAAGAAAAAAAAAAGAAAAATGGTGAATATGGAAAAGAGAGGAAAGGAAAAAAAAGTATAAGGTGGCTTGTTTTTGCTTTTATTTCAAAGAGACAAGATAACCAGTCTTTCCATTGAGGCATTATTGATGACAATTTGAGGAACTGTCAGTAGAAATACTCTAGAAATTTATTCAACAGAATAAAGAGGATAAAATTAGTACAAACTATCTGAGGTCACAGACTTAATGGCATCACACTAGTGTCAGAAGCACTAAAGCGCTTCGGGATTGAAAGGGTTAGCCAGTGATATCACCATTGCCCGGGGAACACCCACTTGGCGGCTCCTTTCATGTCCCCAGCAGAAGCTGAAGTGAAGGTCAGGAGCTCATCCCACCTCACAGCAACACTTGGGTTTCAAACATGGGGCTTGCTAACCTTCAATCCAACACTCTAACTATGTGACCTATCATACAGACTAAATATAACAGTATCAATAATAGCAGAAATTTCAGTTTTTCTTAAATATTTTGAAGATTCAAAAATTCTTACCAACAGTCACAGCTATCACAAAGACTCAAAAAGATAAACATTTTCAGTGACACTGACCTTTTCATATAACGAAGCAAATCAGCAACAAGCATTTTCCAATTTTTTGGTATTCCTGTCCCAAACCTCTTTATGAATGTAGGTGGTATTCCTGTTTGAAACAAAGGTATAGCCTTTGGACAGTTGTTATGTTTTAGAAGGGTGCTTCTTATACCCATTTTTCAAACCTTTGGAGATCAAACAGGGATAATCTTACAGGATTACAGAATTTTAGGGAAATCCCAATATCTTAAATCTGTATTATACCATCTCTCTTTTTGTAATGCTTACCTTTACGTTTATGCAAATGTTATCTTGGAAACTTCTAAATAGAAGAAAGTTATGCATTGTAGAAATTATGACATGTAAGATTCTATACAAGCTGATGCTATCACACAATCAACATTAAATTAAATTGAAAAAGAAAGCAAATTTTGAGAGGGAGGGAACATATAAACATGAAAAGTAGCTTAGATCATATTGGGCAAAATGCATAAATAAAATGCTGCTTTTTATGAGTGTTTCAATATCCATCATCATTTCCAGTCACATTAAGCAAATTTAGTGATATATTAAAAATATTGTCCTTCCTACAAACACTATTACTTATTCAAGATATCATTTGAAACAAATTAATATTTAGCAATGTGGTATAGTTTTAAATCTTATATGACAAGCACAAATCAGATATGTGTTGTTAGATTTCACTGAATACCAGAAGGAAACTAGAAATAATAAAGTACCTGTGTTCAGTAGCACAGTGATCTACTACCTTTTATATGTGTTAACCTATTTCAGTCTGGGCAGGTGCCTCATAGCTCCAAATGTAGGACAATGTAGAACTCAATAACAATAACTAGGGACTACAGTTTGGGTAATAGGTCAGCATGAACAGTTGGAAAAGAAGCAGCAAGGTAGAAGCCATTTTTCACAAGCTTATAAAATTTTTTATAAACTTATAAAAATTCCAGGTTGCCACTATGGTTTAACTTTTCTCTTACCTTCTTTCTTCATGTTAACTGCATCAATACGGCCATCTAATATGTAGGTATTTCCTGTCAAGGTTTTGACTTGATTGTGTGCAATGCGTTCTACAATTGCATTGCTATGCCAGAAGACATTATCCATATCTCTAAAATAAAAAGGACGTAGTATCATAATTGGAAAATAATTAATCTCACCATTATACTTCCTTAGGAACCCAGCTCGAAAAGTAATGTGAGCCCGTTATAATTTCTTTCTCCCATTTTCCAATATATGTGTTTTATATTGTGAATTGTGTATCTTACTATATACATAAGACAGACTTGTCAAGTATTTTGCTTATGAAGAAATATTTGCAGGCCTTTTTTGAATTTGTTATAAAGGACTTAAAGCCTTTGTTAATAGTTCTATTTAACTGGCACAAGATGGACCAGACTGAATAAATTTTGATAAATACACAAGTCTATTCAAGATGTAGGTAATATCTAGAATATATTCAATTTACTCTTGGGAACTTAAATTGTAAGCCACATTATCTGTCCAAGATTGAACAGAAACATAGACTGAAAATAAAAGAAATACATGAGGAAATTTAGTTAATAATCACAGCCAATCAATCACATTACAATTTCCAGCAAAACTTACCACAATTTAGTACCTAAGCCCCATCGTTTTAGTTCTATAAAGTGTCGATTGCAAAGGAAAAGAGTGAGTGAGTGGGGAACTGGATATATTTAAAAAAAAAAACATGGGAGAGGAGATAACTGTCATCCACAGTATAGGTAATCCCTGGGTTATGAGCATTCCCTTAGGAAATATTCGAAGTTATGCAATAAGCACTCCCTAGTGTTTACGAACAAGTCCAAAACAACAAATCTTACAGCACCGCGTCAGTTGTTCGCCTTTATGAACAACAGCTCTGCAACATTTGTCCTGCACGTTGCTGGCCAAAATGGCAGTTTGGAAAGGAGGCTCCACCCCCACCATTCAGGCTTCCTCCAGCACGTTGCAGGCCGAAATGGAGCTTCTGGAGGCCTAAATGGACACATGGCTGAGAGGCTGGAGACGAGACTGCTTGCTGGATCTTCGCATGGTTAAGTGACCCAGCACAACAGGTTGGGTGGAGAGGGAAGCAATTGTGGGGAGCATGAGGTATTTCAGTGGGTTGGGGAGGCCTTGGAGGGTCTTAGGCAGATGGCCTGTTCCATCAGTAGACACCCCCTCATGGCCTTCCCCATCCTGAAATATCTCATATGCTCTTAACGAGCCTCACATTCGATTAGCGAATGTGTGGGCGAAAGGAGGGAGTGATCCCATTCAAGGCACAAGATTCACTCCCACGAATCCTTGAGTTACAAATGGAATGGACAGGCTCCATTACATTCATAACTCGAGGACTACCTGTATTACTGGAAAATAGGATCAAGGAATCAATCTAAACTCAACTTTTCATTCTTACAAAGCTGTCCATTGCTAAATTTATGGCATAACAACTGCTCCATTTAAGTTTGCTTATTTTGCTTTCCTTTGTTTTTTGCTTGAGAGATTGTCTGTATTTATAATTTTTCTTTTAAATTGCTCTACGCTCCTGAGGGATAAACTTCAAGCTTATGGAAATAAATCAAACCAAATAATTTAATACTAATACTAACTCAATACAAGACTAATGTAAGGACCATCCTTGACAGTGATTAAAACCAATTTAGACATATTTGAACAAAGCTGAAAAGTAGTCACTTGCCTCCGTATTCCTTCCAGACACACAGCAGTATTGTCATTGATCACTCTGATTCTCCATTCATTGATACATATCATCTGTTTTTCCTTTGAGAAATAAATTAGAAAAAAAAAAGGGAATATAATTTTTGCCATAATTATTGGTTTGTATCTGACTGCAAAATCATATAATGTATATCAACAGTTCAATGACATTCTTGGATTCATACTTCTGCCTTATACTTGTGATCACTACTTAAATTCAAACTGTGCGCATCTTGATTTGAACCTAAATATTAAGTTTTTTCTTCTGAATTTAGGAAAAAAATAACTTTCAAAGCTAGTGTGGTAATATACCCTTCCTATCATGTATACGTTATACCATTCAAGCAAATATTTGTAGAGAATGATATGCCCACTACGGGTTCCTTTTATGTATTTTGTTAGCATTAAAAGCAGTCCCAAAGTAGGGACTGAATCCAGGAAAATCTTGAAGTTCATAGATGTATTTTTTTCTGAAATTCTAAGTTTCTGAAATTATTCTGAGATTCTAAAAGAAATGGAAATTCCGTTATATTACAGAAATTTTAAAAAACAATGTTATTTTTTTAAATAAAAGTTGCAGGGACATAGCATGCCTCTGGATCATTTATTGGATCTTTGATCTTCACAGTGGTATAAACAAATACTTGCCTCTTTTAGGGAGATGAGGGGTAGATTTTAGGGGTCTATTAATACAAAATATAAATAAATAAATGTAAATAAGATGCTAGTAGTTTCTAGGATTTTTCTAAAAGTATAATTATTAAAAGAGAGAGCTTTTTTTCAGATTTATGGCACTTCAAAACTATTCTTCCACAAAAATATCATCTAAAAGAGCAATATGAAAATAAATGACTAGCTAAGTTAAGCTGCAATTAGGGCTGAGAATGTAATCTATTGGCCACAGCTGCCAGATGATGCCAAGAAAAGCAGCTATTTTAGAATAGCATAACAGTTGCTTACTCATTTGCTTCAACACTCAAAAATACTTTTTTGAAACAGAACCTGAAGCTTTGTGCAAGTCTATTTACTTCCATTTTTCAATGAAATAGCCAACAGAAAATATCCTGGTGAACCACTTATGACCCATACTGATTACCCATTCTGATGTAGTAGAAAAAAACATTTGTAACACAAGAAAAGATAGTTGTGGTATCCCCTTTAGTTATGTTCGTGATTGACTAATGGCTGGTGTGCATTGTTTTTCCAGCCAGACAGGATAAAAATGGATAAAATAAAAGATTCTACCTTTTCATTTGTTCCTGTTTCAGGTTCATCCAAGGGCACTTTGGTAGCAGGCTGTCGTTTCCTTGGTATACGGACTTTTGGAGTATCAAAAATTGTATCACACAGGTGTTGGGAAGGTTTTTGTGGCGAAACACTTGAATTTTCTCCCGCTTTATAGCCATATATATTTTTGGATGGAGTCACCACTGCTTTTTCTTGAGGAAGTTTTCCAGATGCTCTTTCCTTCAAGAATTCTCTAGATTTAACATGATCATCACTCATAATCACAGGATTAGATATTATTGTAAAAGTCTCACTGGCCAATTCAGCAGTTTCCACAATAATCTCTTTCTGGCTAACAGTAGTACTTAGGTATTCTTCATTAAAATTATTAATTTTTTTTGTTGGTTGGGATGTGATTAACGGGTGCTTTGCTGTAGGTAAAGGAGAGACATTTTAAATTTAATACAGTGAAATATCTCCTACAGGAAATATTCTCTTGATAACTATTGTTTCAGGATGAGTTGTTATGCCTAAATCATTTTTTTCCTCAGTCATGCTAACTTCTTAGACTTAAAGACAATAACTTTTTCTCAATAACAAGAAAAAGACAGAACTCTTTTCATTAAGTTTTATGGATAGCCAACTAGAATAGTCTGATGGAAGACTAATTTTATACATGGTAACTGCAACATAATTATTATGTGCAGAGAGATGGAGGCAAACTGAAGCTCCCAAAATTGTGGAATGGATTGTAAAGATGACAGAAATGGGACAAAAGCAAAATCCAAGCTATTTGGTAAAAGACACCATTACTTTTTATGGACATTTTACTGAAAATAGAAAAAAGCGAAGTGTAACAATTTGAAAAATGATTAAATAAGGAGTTGAAGAGATCTCTGTAATATCAAGAGGGAGGAATGATAATGAGTTTGTTTATAACTGTTATAAAAACTGCAAGTTGCTTACTGTTTTGATTATTTCTTTAACTATTTTTTTCTTCCTGTTTTTTACATTTATCTTTTACTTATGTAAAATCTTAATAAAATGATGATGATATAGTTCGCTAGCTATTGTGTATGTGTTAATATGTGTCTGTATCAATAACGAAGAGCTTGCTGAATGGTGCACATGCTATTTGATGACTATTTCTGTTTAAATTTAACCTACCGTGTTTCTCATATAATAAGGCCGGGTCTTATTTTTTTTGAGCCCCGAAAAAATGGCTAGGCCGTCTTTTCAGGGGTGATTTAATTCCCTCCCCCTTGCATCTTCGGGCGGGTGGGCGGCAACGGCTTGGATGTTGACCTCGGCGTTGGTGGGGCACTTCATATCGGGGTCAACGCAGGCAGCACCATATCCGGATGTGCCACAATAAGTACTTCCTAACGGCAAGCCCCCCCACCACCCCCCCCATTTTGCATGTTTTAATATAGGCCTTAATTTGGGGAGGGGCTTAATTTCATTTCATGCCTATCAAACATGCTGGGACTTCCTATTGGGGGAGGCCGTATTGTTGGAGAAACAGGGTATTTATTTGCCACCTATCTCACTGACAAGCAACTCTGGCTGGCTTACAAACATAAAAAGGGGTACAAAACATTAAAATATTAAATACGAAATAAAATAAAAATGAAATAAGTTAAAAATCAGAACCAGAATACTATGGGGTAAAGGTTTGAAAAAAAACTAAAGGCAAATGATGAGTAAACAAATAAAAGCAAGTACAAATTATTTGGCAGTTTGCTATGTCAGTTTAGTTATTATAAACAGAACGTTCCATCTTTTACAAGAAAATTACAAAGTGACCACAAGTTTGCAGGTAGAAAAACTGAAGACAGAATTTCAAGACAAAAAGATATGCAAACCTTCTCATCACCTAAGAAAAATATTACCTTTCTGCAACCAATCTTCCTGCAACCTCTGTTTTATACGGGAGAAGAACTTGTTGGGGGATTCCAAAAATGGAGGATTTATTACTGTAGTACATATATTTTTGTTCACCGCAGTAAAATCTTTCATTGAAACTGAAAGGACAAAACCCATTCATAAATAGTTTTCAATATTTGGTAGATTGAAAAATCTTTTAGGAAATCTGGAATTTAATATTTGCATGGCAATATACAATGCAACTAATTTAACAGACAAGTATTATCACTGAGAAAGTCCAGATGTGCTTCTATAAGTTATCAGGGGTGCCCAATACATAATTGGACAATTAATTAATTATATAGTTATTTCCTCATCACCCTTCCTTGGTTGCTCTTCTTAAGAAGTGGTGCTGGGAAACAATGATTCAAGTTTGGTTTAAAGCAACTTTGTGCATGGTTTATGCATATAAAAATGAACCATAAGAAGTTGGAGAAAAAAAAGCAATAGGCAATAAATGAAATGGGAAAGACAGCTTATTCAAAATTTTGGTATTGGTCATCTCCTTTAAAGCCCTTTATGGAATGGGTCCAAGGTATCTGAGGAACCAACTTACTCCAATAGACTGACACAACCACTTGTTCTTGCAAAGATCACAGATCCTATTGGTAAAGAATCTCAGCTAGTTAGAAGTCTAGAGGAGCGTTTTCTGCCATGGCCCACACCCTTTGAAACACCTTTCCACCAGAGGTGAAATCAACCCCTTCTAACTTTTAGGAAGAACATTAACATCTTGCTCTGCCTGATGCAGAAACCAGAGAAGGTGATGGGCTGTCTGATAAAATAAAGCTAGGTCATGGCACACACTTGAAAGTAAATTAGGAAGACTGTAATTGTGGAGTCTGTCTGGCAAGAACAAAGAATGCTTATCCACAGGAAATGTGCATGTGTAAAGCCTGTAACAATTCTGGGTGGCTAGAAAGCTGATAAAAGTAACAAGAGTTAGGCAACTTGCAGACTAAAGCTAAAAGTTAGGAATAGAAATGGCCTGCAGCAAATAAAATGTGCATTAAATAACTCCTGAGGCATTCATTAGCCAAGGTTTAGGAACAAGGATAGCTAGAGACCAATAGAACAAACTGTAGAATTATTACTAAAATGTTTATTGGATATTTCTTATCATCTCGCCTTGTCCCACCCTCTCCTTTAGTGAAAATGTATGAAGTTTACTTAATTCTTTGTTCTTGGCATTTTGGCCAGGAGCCCTTTTCCTTGGAGTACTCCAATAAAAAGCAATCAGAAAATCTGCAACTCATGTCTGCCATCCTTCATTGGCGTCGACACCAGGCTCAGATCCAAATTGGGGACAACAAAGGCACCACATTTGCTCACCTCTAAACTCATTATCTTTTACTCTTTATGTAACCTTTTATAATTTAAATTTGTTTTTGTTTATAATGGCTTTTATAGTTCTACTTTTTACTATGTTGTTAGTCACCCAGGGCCACCCCAAACAGCAAGATGAGTGGCATATGAATTCAATCAATCAATACTGAAGGTGCGTCTAAATTAATGAGGCAGAGAGCAGGTTGTCCAATTTATATCACTGCTGGCTAGAAGCCCAAGATTGTTTTTGTAATTGTATCTCAAACATCTAAGTATGATACTAGAAAAATTTTAGAAAAAATTACATAACCAACCTGTTTTTACATTGGATTCTTCTAGAAAATTCTCATCCAGCTTTGTCTTTTGTTTACCTTCAACAATAGGTATTTTTTCTGGTCTTTGTAGAAAGGCAGGCTGCCTTTCAGAAGGAATATAATCTGTGGTATACTTTGGGTCCAACAACATAGCTTCTGGAGGCTTGTGTTTTTCTTTGACAAGAGCTGCTGTTTGTTTCATTCTTAAGAAGATTTTTGCTGGAGATTCAACGGATAATGGCCTACAAGCTTTACGTTTTTGAACAGCGCTCCTTGTCATATAGTTAGTTTTCTGACATGAAGAAATCATTCCCGGGATTCCTTCAGATGATTTTATTTCACTGATATCAAAGAAATCTTGTGTGTGCTTATTGCCAGATATTACAGTGGACTGGAAAACATTTATTCCTTTAGTTTCTTGGTCTGAGCAAACATTTTGGCAAGTAAGAACCATTGAAGGAGGAATTTTAGCTGAATCCAAAGTACGATTCATCTGGAATTTTACAAAATCCTTTAAAGGTGTACCACTAGGGATATTATGTAAAGAAACTGCTTTCAATGACATTTTTTCTTTCCTGTTAAAGAAAAAATGATGTTAAAATTCGTCAATTTTTGGAAAGTACAGCAGCTGCAAAAACAAAATCTCTTTATTGTAAATGCTTTTTTAAATTAAAAAATGTTTGATATCTGCAAATGTGAACTGCATTCCTTTACATTTTTACTTAAAAATGTGTTACAAAGAAACACAAACTCTGTAATACCTCATGCTAAATGCATCTAAATTCCCTAAATTATTTAATACTTAAATTATAAATGAGATATAATACCGTAGAATGACACTATATGTAACACTATATAAAATTTAAATCTCTAGTGGAATTTTGAAAATTTAGTTATAAAACATTAAAGGACTTTTTCTATCTGATAATATAAGGCTGTTGTATCATGGAAATTGCACCAGAATGATATAAGAGATTCAGCAATCAATCCATAGAAAGGTTGAATACATAATATATGATGTAACATTGGCATGTCCAACCTGAGGCCTATATACTACTAATAATGTGGCTCCACAAGATTGTAAACTTTTATATACACCAATTATACACAAAAATAAGACATCCTAGATCTGAATGAATGAAATATTCTTATTAAATACTTTGTTCATTACATAGTTGAATGTCCTGACAACAAACTCACACAAAAATTATCAATGGAATCAAATTTAGCAACCCATGGAGGTCTGGATTTGGAGTTATACTCAAAATTAAAGTGGAAATAAACACTACAGACTGATCCAACTTTGATGCAATGTCCTTAAAACAAGTCAAAATGAGGCTCAATAGTGTGTGTGGCCTCCATGTGCCTGTATGACCTCCCTACAACGCCTGGGTATGCTCCTGATGAGGTGGTGGATGGTCTCCTGTGGGATCTCCTCCCACACCTGGACAGTCTGTGGTGCAATGTGGCATTGGTGGATGGAGCGAGACATGATGTCCCAGATGTGCTCAATTGGATTCAGGTCTGGGGAACGGGCGGGCCAGTCCATAGCATCAATGCCTTCGTCTTGCAAGAACTGCTAACACACTCCAGCCACATGAAGTCTAGCATTGTTGTGCATTAGGAGGAACCCAGGGCCAACCGCACCAGCATATGGTCTCACAAGGGGTTTGAGGATCTCATCTCGGTACCTAATGGCAGTCAGGCTACCTCTGGCGAGCACATAGAGGGCTGTGAGGCCCCCTAAAGAAATGCAACCCCACACCATTACTGACCCACTGCCAAACCGGTTATGCTGGAGGATGTTGCAGGCAGCAGAATGTTCTCCAGACCCTGTCACGTCTGTCACATGTGCTCAGTGTGAACCTGCTTTCATCTGTGAAGAGCACAGGCAAATTTCCAATCTTGGTGTTCTCTGGCAAATGTCAAAAATCCTGCACAGTGTTGGGCTGTAACCACAACCCCCACCTGTGGACATCGGGCCCTCATACCACCCTCATGGAGTCTGTTTCTGACCGTTTGAGTAACCACATGCACATTTGTGGCCCTCTGGAGGTCATTTTGCAGGGCTCTGGCAGTGCTCCTCCTGTCACTCCTTGCACAAAGGCGGAGGTAGCGGTCCTGATGCTGGGTTGTTGCCCTCCTACAGCCTCCTCCACGTCTCCTGGTGTACTGGCCTGTCTCCTGGTAGCGCCTCCATGCTCTGGACACTACGCTGACAGACACAGCAAGCCTTCTTGTCACAGCTCGCATTGATGTGCCATCCTGGATGAGCTGTACTACCTGAGCCACTTGGGTTGTAGACTCCGTCTCATGCTACCACTAGAGTGACAGCACTGCCAGCATTCAAAAGTGACCAAACTATCAGCCAGAAAGCATAGGAACTGAGAAGTGGTCTGTGGTCACCACCTGCAGAACCACTCCTTTATTGGGGATGTCTTGCTGACTGCCTCTGCTTTCTACCTGTTGTCTATTCCATTTGCACAACAGCATATGAAATTGATTGTCAGCCAGTGTTGCTACCTAAGTGGACAGTATGATTTCACAGAAGTGTGATTGACTTGGAGTTACACTGTGTTGTTTAAGTGTTCCCTTTATTTTTTTGAGCAGTGTATATTTTATATGCAGTCCGAAAAACTTCGTCTTCACGCAAATGCAGGCCAGGCAAGCCAAAAAGTTGGATACCCATGATATAAAGAATATTAATTTTATCTGCAACATTCAAGAAAATCAAGAGATATTTGTACTTTAGGAGCATAAACAATCCATTAGGCACTTTAGCAAACCCAAGTGATGTTAATATTTATTTCAAAGTCACTCAAAATTACATCAAAAATCAGGAGCCTCAAAGTACTTTTTCAAAGTAAGAAATTGTATTAAAAGGCATAGGCTTTTCTGAGCACTACCATTTTCCTTCTGATATTTGTCTACTCTAGACTAAAATACCTCCTTATACAAAAGGACTATACCAAGGCTGCAGTTCTTCCACAGAGCAAGAACAGCATCATGTTTGTTCCTTTTTAGGATCACATATAAAACCTTTTCATAAGGTTAGCCCACTAAATGAGTAGAGCCATATCATATACAGGTAGTCCTCACCTTACAACAGTTCATTTAGTGACCAAAGTTACAACCACACTGAAAAAAGTGACTCATGACCATTTTTCACAATTATGACATCTGATCATGTGATCAAAAAGCAACGGCTTAGAAACTGACTCATACTTATGACTGTTGCTGTGTCCCAAGGTCATGAGATCACCTTTTGCAACCTATTGACAAGTGAAGTCAGTGGGGATGCCAGATTCACTTAACAATCATATTACTAACTTATCAGCGGCAATTCACTTAACAACTTGGCAGGACAGACCATAAAATATCTTTCAACAGAAATCTTGGGCTCAATTGTAAGTCAAGGACTACCCGTCTATGGCTGGAACTGGCAAAGACACTGGTGACCAGAAATTGAGCAGGAACAAGAAGATAAACGCATTATGACACAAAACTCCAAACTTAAACATTTGCATCCGACATCAAGTTGCAAGTACAGTACTTTGTAACTACCTTCCCAAAATAAATGCTCTCTAGAGAAACTGATGGATTACAATATTCCTGCCCCTAAAAGCATAATTTTCAAGAGCAACCTCCTCTTATGCCTGAAAAGTTTTCGATCAGGGTATGCTAACTGTTCTTAAGATATGCTGGTGAAACTATGGACACTAACCTCACAATCAATTACAAAAGCTACAAGTGGCACAAAGAGTCATGGAAAGATACAGGCTCAGCATCACAAGACAAGACAGAAAGACCCGCACATGGATTACAGAACAAACAAAAATATACAATGCCATCAAGAGTAAAAGAATGGAAATGGGCTGGTTCCATAGCAAAAAGAACTGATAACAGGTGGATCAAGGCAGTCATAGAAAGGATCCCACTTAGCATCAGAACAGAATAAGAGTTGGGAGAGGCTTTATAGGTCATCTAGTCCCATCCAAGGAGAAGACCCTACACCATTTCTGACAGATGGTAGTCCAGGCTCTTCTTGAAAGCTTCCAGTAATGAAGCTCCCACAACTTCCAAAGGCAAGCTGTTCCATTGGTTCATTTTCTGTCAGGAAATTTCTCCTTATTTCCAGGTTGAATCTCTCCTTGTTCAGTTTCCATCCATTATTCCTTGTCTGGCCTTTCGAACCTCAGGGACCATCAAACTCATAATTTTAAATCCCGCAGACCACTATGATGAATTTTGACTGACAGTGGCTTGCTGACATTGGTGGGAAAGTCAGTCCCATATTCCAGAGCTGCAGTAGTCACAAGACTGGCCCTTTGGTCATCCTGGAGCAGCTGTTCCTCCACCTGGGTGCACCAGTCTTCCATGGACTGGAGGAACTGCTCCGAGATGACCAAAGGGCCAGTCCTGTGACTACTGCAGCTCTGGAATATGGGACCGACTTTCCCACCAATGTAAGCAAGCCACCCCAGGGTGGATTTCCTTCTCCCGCCATTGGTCTTACCTTCCAGTTCCAGCTCGCATGGTTTTACTCAAGCAATGTTTGCATTCAGGTGAAGGGCGGGCCATGTGGGTGGTGCAGCCTTGTGTTCCCCCACAGCCTGGATTAATTGCTTTGGGGGGACTGCTTTGGGGGGACATTTCTCCGTGGACCACTAAAATTTTCTCGCAGACCGCCAGTGATCCCCAGCCCACCGGTTGGCAACCACTGCTTTAGAAAATAGCTTGACCCCTTCCTCTCTGTGCCAGCCCCTCAGATATTAGAACACTGCTATCATGTCACCCCTGGTCCTTCTCTTCACTAGACCTGCAACTGGTCTTCGTATGTTTTAGCCTCCAGTCCCCTAATCACCTTTCTTGCTCTTCTCTGCACTCTTTCTAAAGCAGGGGTCTCCAAACTTGGCAACCTGACTCTGTGGTTTCTCCCCCAAACCCCAAAAACTTTTAACCTTAGACTGTCTACTATTGACTTCACCCCTTTCCTAAGAGGCCTGTAGGGGCTGTGCCTACCCTCCCTGTCCTATTGTTTCTTTTTTTTTTCTCTTATATGTATCCATGTATTCATAACTATGTTGTTACTTATATCTATTATCTTGTAAGCAATTGACAAAAATAAATAAAATAAAAAATAAAGTTTAAGCTTTCTGGACTTCAACTCCCAGAATTCCTCAGCCAGCTATGCTTGCTGGAGTATTCTGGGAGTTGAAGTCCAGAAGGCTTAAAGTTGCCAAGTTTGGAGACCTCTGTTCTAGTCTCAACAGAAACGTCCATGAAAAACCAAAAAGAAGATGGATTCACGACATCATCAAGTATCGCGGGCCCAACTGGCAAAGAAAAGCCCAGGACCCCGTATGGGTTGGAAGCATGAGGAAGAGGCCTTCATCCTGCAGTGGGTGAATAATGGCTAAAAGGGATGATGATGATGATGAATATCCCTGTCATGTAGCTGGGCAGCCTGATCTCCACGTGACAGATGGAAGTGCTCCCAAATCAAACCGAGACAAGTCCTGGCAAGAAGAGGGTCCTACTTTAAAGTCCCCCGGGGCAACCTTC